ACTCAAAAATATGTCCACATCATTTTTTTTTACAAAGTGGATTTTTCACATCACACAATCCTGTTAATTAATTGCCACATGTCAAAAAATTTAACGAAGGGACCCAAAAGGGCCATATTTCAATATTTATGGACTAAAAAGGAGATCAATAGTAGAGGAACCAAAAGGGATATCTAACCTAAAGCAAATAAGCCTTTGAACTTGATAATTTGAATAATTTAATTGCCTTTCTTACACTAGATTTAATGCTTTTTTGTGTCTTACTTGCGTGAATAAGGTCATTACTCGTCATATAGGCAATAACATGTTAATATTTTATCTACATGAGAAGTGTTAAGTTTACCATAAAAAAAGAGGGGTTTAATTTTTCAAATTGCCAAGTTTAGGGACTTATTTACATTAATAAAAATTTAGGGACTTAACTAAAAAATCTAGAAAAAATTTGAGGACTTAACATAGTTTTGCCAAAAGACTAGAAAGGCTTTGGAATTTTTGAACCAGAATGATAAAAATGTTTGGAACCTTTATTAGGCTTTGACATAAGGAGATAACCATAAATAGCTGTTATAAATGATTGCTTAATCAAATTTCACTAACTTTTTGATGCAACATCTTTTCGTTGTTAACACTGACAGTTGTTATTTACATTTAAAGTTTTTTAATGCAAGATTTTAATTGAGAGACTCAAATTTCAAATAAAATTATAATAAACGTATTTTATAATTAATTTTTATTAAAAATATAAATATTTATTTCAGTTTAATTAATTAATCAATTAAAAATTCTTGATGCAACATCTTTTCACTATTAACATTGATAGTTGTTATTTACATATAAAGTTTTTTAATGCAAGGTCTTAATTGAGAGACTCAAATTTTGAATAAAGTTATGATAAATGTATTTTTATAATTAATTTTTATTAAAAATATAAATATTGATTTCAGTTTAATTAATTAATTTTTACCATAAAGAAGAGGGGTTCAATTGTTCAAATTGCCAAGTTTAGGGACTTATTTACGTTAATAAAAATTTAGGGACTTAATAAAACAATCTAGAATAAATTTAAGGACTTAACACAGTTCTGCCAAAAGACTAGAAAAGCTTTGGAATTTTTGAACCAGAATGATAAAATTGTTTGGAACCTTTATTAGGCTTTGACATAAGGAGAGAACCATAAATAGCGGTTATAATGATTGCTTAATCAAATTTCGATAACTTTTTGATGAAATATCTTTCCGTTGTTAACACTGGCAGCTGCTATTTACATTTAAAGTTTTTTAATGCAATATCTTAATTAAGAGACTCCAATTTCAAATAAAGTTATGATAAACATATTTTTATAATTAATTTTTATTAAAAATATAAATATTGATTTCAATTTAATTAATTAATCAATTAAAGTTATTTATATGTTAATAGTGTTAAAATATATGTTAATTTTTATAATTTATATAAAAATTTATTATAAAAAAATATATTCATTATACCCTTAAATTGTGCTCTTAAAGTAGAGATTAAACAAACTCATAAAGCTTTTAATACAAGATTGATATAATTGTATTAATCTTTGAATCATTGAGATGTTTTGACTATGAAAGTATAATCACAAGATTCAAAAAAAGTACAATCACATGAATATATTTGAAAATATTTTCTTTTAACATTTACATTTTGATTTAAGTTATATCAAAATTAAGAAAAATATATTCCAATAATATTCAATTAATTTTTGTATTAAAATAAAATTAGACTTAAGTAAAAATATGATGGCATGTGTAAGTGTAACTCATATACCCCATTGCTAAACCGTATATCAATTTTTTTAACAACCAAAGAAACTATATTACAAAATATTACTTTAAAATGCAAGTATACTCCTAACTTACAACACCTAATACTAAACTGCATATCAATGATTATAGTACAAAGTAATTAATAATTTTGTTTTATTTTATTTTTATTTTAAATTACACAATAAGATATAACTATC